AGATTCGACATTTCCATATGTGGGTATTCAGGCTCTTGCAGCGGGTCAGTTGGTTGAGTGAACGCGCGAGCCTCACTAAGCTGCGCCGTACAGTTGGCCCAGGCCACGAAAGTTGTGCCTGGACACCTACACACACAGCAGGGCCGATACATTGAGAAGCAGGCCGTCGGCCTTTGGAAAAGCAGTACAGCCGACGCACCTACCTGGGGGCCCTGCGCAGATGCATCTAACAGCCCAAGTCCGAAGACTCAGGCCGCGCCCAACTGTAAAGGGCCCAGGCCCTCAACTGTAAGTCTCGGCCTTGGCACAAGGTCTGAGGCCCAACCGGAAGCTACTGGAAGCTTCCAGCCAGGCCACACGCAGCATGCAGCAGCCTGCCACTTCCATAAAGGAAGTGAGGCAGCCGAGGCCAAGCATTCTGGCCAGCGCTGGCAATGCAAAAGTGATGTTGCACTCTCGCTTAATGCTGCTGCCAAGGGCGCTGACGGGGGCGCGAGAGGTGAAGTGGGGAGCTGCAGGGCAGCGGGGCGCAGGCAGCCATAACCGGGCTACTGGGCGCCAGGGGGTACAGCGGATGATCGGGTGGTCTTCAAGGAGTGAGGCGTTGTGTGGGATAATCAAGGTCTGATTGAGGGTGACGAGATACGTACCTGGTACATGAAGAGAGTTCGCCGATGGTGTGGACAGTCATGTACATTGGTCTTCGTGAGCCAAATGATCCTGTTGTGTGAACCAGCTGTAGCGTAGGATAGTATGGTAGAGTAGGTTGGGCGTTGTGCGCCAGACAGAGAGAGCGACTCTAGATACTGTGTTGGTGTGGCCTACGGGCTTGGACATTGGCTCAACACTTCATTGTATTGCTCTTTATGGATGGTTTTCTCAGTGCATTTGTACTCTCTACTTGGGATACTACTACTTGCTCAGCTGTGTGATTTCACAACTTGGTTTTATGTATATCGCTCGCACTCATATTCCTTGCAATTTGGTATCGGAGTTGGTTGATGATCACCGCTTACCTGACACCGGTGATATTGTAACTTGGTGCATTGAGGATGCTTCATGTGCAGTGAGAAACTTTGCCGCTGGTTAATTAGCGGGGCTAGAGAGGCCAGCCTCTGGAAGGCTGTGGCGACAACGGATGTATACAAGGTAGGATGATGAGAGTATGCTAACGTGGCATTTTGGCTGAGGTGGCACTACATTGCGTTGTGGGTGGTACCGTGGCTATTGACTGCTGACACCTAACAGACAGACTAGAGTAGGACTGTAATCTACCATAGTCAGTTCTTCTCGAATCTTCTGTGCAGACTAATAAGAATAAGAGATTAGACAATGTGTACAGTTTGTGTAGATGTTGTTGATGCCGCTTGTTTAGTAGGCTAGGTAACTCGCCAGACGTTTAGTTATTTGTTTATTTTTAGATCCGGTCAGACGCATGCTGCGTTAGGTTCCAACGAGGACATTAGTGCAGACAGCTTCTGCCTAACCTATGAGTGGATCAAAGGGTGAGGGAGGTGCAGATGACGATAAGAGATTAACACGGATATCATCCCTATTCCTCGAGTGTTCCAAACCTTAGAACCAGGAGAAGAGAGAAGGTTAAGGGTTGAAGCTAGGGCCCATAATCTTGAGGCTGCAAGAGAAGCAGCAGTAGCTAGAGCGGTAGCAATGGCTACTTCCGCAGCAACTGCTGCCAACTCAACTGGTCAAGGGCTAGGCATGCCGACCAGTTCACAGTCAATCTCCACTACGTCAGGGGTTGGCACTAGTCAAATGGCGGGCTCGCAGTTAAGCTCGCCGCCTCCACGCACCCGGGAGCAGATGGAGCTCCGGCAAGTAGAGAGGATCCGCTTAAGGTTAGAGGAGGAACTTAGACAGGCTACTAGAAGAGAGAAAGAGATCAAAGAGAGAAGTGTCAGACTAGAGAGTAGGAAGGCAGACATGGCTGCGCTAGAGGCATTAGATGACACTGCCCTAAACACTACATGAAAGATCCTGAAGGCAAGCGTCCTCTCCATGCATGCATGCACAGACAGCAAGATGGACGCCATGCAAGATACTCTAGACCAGATCCTACAAGCGAACATAAGCCAGGGATCCGGCCAGCAGCCTTACCATCGCTGCCACTCTCAGCGATGACAGGCCTCTATGTCGCTCAGTCTACACCACCACCAAGTGTTACATCAACAACAGTTCTATCTCAAACTATTCCTTCTTCATCTTCTGGTCCAGCGACTGTTGCTACACCACAGTCGCCACCTGTCTCGCAAGCGGGACAAAAATTACCAATATCCCAAGACCCCACTGAACCCACCCGCAACCTTCTCAGGAGACAAGAAGGATGAGGCTCTCGACACATGGTTGAGAACGGTGCCAGTGTGGGTGAGGGCCAAAAGGACATTGGTAGAATAGGAGGTGATCACTGTTGCATCCTACTTAAGAGGGTTCAGCAGCCCGTTGGCTAAACGGATTGGTAGCTTCAAAGGGCTTCGGCAGGAACATGCATGATTGGGCGCAGACCCATACATTAGAAAGCTTTATGGACTTAGTGGAGGCTCGTTGGCACAACCCTCAACAGGCATAGATTGCCACTGATGGGCTCTTAAAGCTTGATACTAGAAAGTACAAGTCAGTGTGAGAACTTACCACAGTCGTAGAGCGCCTCATCGTCATCCCGGGAGTGGAGTACAATCCCCAGGTTTTTTTGACCACGTTCCTGAGATGTCTTCCCACCGACATTAGGAATTTATTTGCCAGCGAGGCTCACAGAGAGTATTACACATTTGAGTCATTCACCAAGAAGGCCCTAGACTTAGAGTTTACTCTGAGTGGAGCTCAAACCCCTTCTACGGATGGGAGAAAGAAGAAGACTCCACAAGAGTGGAAGAAAAAGGGTAGTCGATTGATGATGGTTGATTCCGATGGGAATCAAACCGAGATCGATGATGTTTTCGATCTTGTGGAGGGTACAGAGTTTGACGGCGAGGAGAGTGCTGAGGGTAGCAACTTCGCCGTCGTAGTTAAGACTAAGGCCGGTGGTCACGGCAAGGGCGGTCAACAAAGGAGTCCGGGGCAGGCCGCTAACCCAAACAAAATAGTTGCTTGGGTTAGAGCATGTCTGGATCAAGAAGTGTGGCGGGACCGTTGGAGTCGTGGTGCTTGCATTAACTGCGGTGAGTATGGTCACACACAGTTCAAGTGCAAGAACCCAAAAGTCTTGCAGAAGATCCCTCCTAAGGGTGGGTTTTCTTCTTCTCAATCTGGGGCCTCTACGAGCTCCAACTCGGGAAACACTTACGGCCAATAGAAGTTATAGCTGCTTCTACTCTTGTTGAAGCGGGTGATGTACCCTCCCCGTTTCAAGAGATGGCCAACGCTATTGACTCCTTAGTCACCCCGCAAACGCATCCGGACCCAACTATACTCTGTACGTTGGATGTGTCTGAGGCCTTACAGGACCTTCAAGGTGAGTGGTCGGCAAGGGACACTCGTGAGTCCTGGGTGGCACTGAGTAGAGGTCCTAGAGGGGAGCACTTCGTTGTGGAAGTTGATGTGGGCGGTCGCAAGTGCGGCGCCTTCGTAGACATTAGCTCCACACGAAACTTCATAAGTCGCGACTGCGTTGACAGACTGTGCCGAAAGGACCGGGTGCAGCGCCTTAGTAGACCGGTAGCATCTACTTTGGCCAACAAAGAGCGCATGATGGTGGAGGACTACGTTAAAGATGTAGTTTGCACCTTCTCCTACCCAGAAGGAGAGCTAAACCACAAGATATCATTCCTGGTGAGCGACGAGTTGCCCTTTGACATATTATTTGGCATGTACTACCTCGAGGTTGCCAAGCCCCAGTTTGACTGGGACAAGAAGGTGTTGAAGCACGAGTTGCCTAGTGGGAGAACCGTGAGACTGGCCAAATACAAAGCCAGTAGGTTAATAGACTCCTATGGGTGCCTATGTGCATTTGCCTTCTATATGTCTCTGCAAAAGGGGAGGCCGTTAAATCACCCCCAGAGATAGAGACCATCGTCGCTAAGTACCCAAATCTGTTCGAGGAGCCTACAGCAGTCGTAGACAGGGAGATTGTCCATGCCATAGAGATTATCCCAGGAAGTAAAACACCTAAGGGTAGAATCTATAAGATGGCTCCACCCGAGTTGGACGAACTTCGGCGGCAACTGAAAGAGCTCACAGAGAAGGGTTGGATTCGACCTAGCACTTCCCCCTTTGGCTCACCAATATTGTTTCTTCCAAAGAAAGGGCGAACACTAAGGATGTGCATTGATTATAGAGGCCTGAATGCCATCACCGTTAAGAACGCAGAGCCTCTACCACGCATCGACGACCTATTGGATAGGGTGCAGGGGTGTAAGTACTATACAAAGATAAACTGAAAATCTGGGTACCATCAGATTGCCATTAGACCAGAGGACCAGCACAAAACCGCATTTCAGGCCAGGTACGGTCTATACGAGTTTGTGGTGATGCCCTTTGGCCTTTGCAATGCGTCGGGTACATTCCAACACGCCATGAATAGGATCTTCCATGACTACTTGGACAAGTTTGTTGTCGTGTACCCCAACGACATACTTATCTTTAGTAGATCTGTCGAGGAGCATGCTCAGCATGTAGACAAAGTACTGTCACTCGTTCGGCAGCACAAGTATAAGATACACGCTGAGAAATGCGAGTTTGGTCGCACTCGAATCTTGTACTTGGGTCATGAGGTATCCGCGGATGGAATTAGGCCCGAAGATGCGAAGGTGGCTAGCATTCGTGACTGGCCACGACCCCAGTCTGTGACTGAGGTCAGATCATTCTTGGGAATGTGTGGTTATTACCGCAATTTCGTAAAGAATTATAGCACGATTACATCTCCCTTGACTGATCTAACTCGACTCGATACACCATGGGACTGGACCGACGAGTGTGAGGCAGCTTTCAAACATTTGAAGCATACTCTCACGCATCATGAGGTTCTCATGGTACCCGACCCGCAAAGGCCGTTCGTTGTAACCACTGACGCAAGACAGTATGGGATTGGCGCAGTGCTGGCTCAGCAGGAAGGGAAGAAGTTTTGACCGATCGAGTACATGAGCAAAAAGATGTCTTCAAAGAAGTTGGCAAAGTCCACCTACGAGAGGGAACTCTACACTCTTTACAAGGCATTTGTCCATTGGAGGCACTACCTGTTACGAAGGTTCTTCTACTTGAGAACTGACCATCAGACACTCAAGTGGATCAAGACTCAACCAGTTCTCTCCGATGCACTCAAACGCTGGATTGAAGTCATAGATCAATATGATTTCAAACTAGACTATTTGAAGGGAGAGTACAACAAGGTTGCAGATGCGTTGTTTAGGAGGGCAAATTACCTAGGTGCGCTGATTTCTGAGTTTGGTTTGTCAGAGGACGTGACTCGATCGTTGGATGAAGCCTACAAGGAAGATCCCATCACGATGGACATCATCAACAAACTACAGGCTAAAGATAAGGCCACCACTGATGAGTTTGTGATGGTGGATGGGTTGCTCTTTCTTGAGAAGGCAGGGTTCAAGAGGTTGTTTGTTCCATCTAGAGAAACTTTGCGTAGTTTATTTTTAGGTGAGTGCCATGACGCAATGGGACACGTCGTCTATAAGAAGAGTGCTAATTTAGTACAGCGATTATGGTGGCCGAACATGCTTGACGATGTGAAGAAGTACGTGGAGACCTGTCAGTTCTGTCAGCGGGACAAACCGCGGACTCGAGCTCCGCTTGGGTTACTCAAGCCTTTACCCTTTCCTGCTGGCCCAGGGCAGAGTATCTCCATGGACTTCATGGATACTCTTGTGACCAGCAAGAATGGCAAGAGGCACATCTTCGTCATAGTGGATAGGTTCACTAAGTACGCTAGACTAATCGCCATGCCAGAGACTGCCAGGACTGAGCACGTCATCAAGTTGTTCATGGACAACTGGGTGCGTGATTTTCGATTGCCTAAGACTATCGTTAGTGATAGAGATGTCCGTTTCACTAGTGAGATGTGGAAGAAGGCCGCTGAACAGATGGGCAGCCAGCTTCAGATGACTTCTGGGAATCATCCCGAAGCAAATGGGCAGGCTGAACAGATGAACCGAGTGGTGCAACACCTGCTGAGGCATTACATCAAGCCCAGCCAGAATAATTGGGATGAGAAGTTACCTCTCATCGCCAGTTTGTACGACAACGCGGTACACAGCACCATCGGTGTCAGTCCTAATCAACTACATCTAGGATGGAAGCCTAGATTTGCTTTAGACTTCCTCCTACCTGAAAATCGAGCTGCTGCAACTCCTAGAACCACCGAATTTGGTGTCCAGTATGAGAAACTGCTGCAGCAGACTGTCGAACACATTAAGAAATCTCAGGAGGTCATGATTGCTTCTGAGAACAAGCGTCGTCGACAATCCACATTTCAGGTAGGGGATTGTGTCTGGGTCGAGGCTAGTGAACTGGGACAGGAGTTTGGCATCTCTAGGAAACGAATGCCTCAGTATTTCGATCCCTGGGAAGTCCTGGATATCGTGGGGAATGATTTGGATGGTCCCTTGTACGTCATTCGTATCCCTGGTCACTTACGCACTTACCCTGTTTTCCACGCTTCCAAACTTGCACCTTTCGCTGAGACAGCACAGTTCCCATCACGGAGATCTATGCTGCCCCCAACCATGGATAGCCACGTGGACGTTGACGACATCCTGGATCACAGAGACACGCCTGTTCCTAAGCCACCTGGTAGGGGAAGACCTCCCAAACCTGCGCGAGAATACAGAGTACATTTCAAGCATCATACAGATCCGAAGGAAGATCGATGGATTTCAAGGGAGGAACTTGTCAAGACAGCTCCTCAGATCGTGGCCGATTATGAGAAAAGACTAAAGGGGAAGGCACCAGCATGAAGCATCTCAACGAACTTTCGAAGCTAAGGGGGGTGGAATGTGAGGAACAAGCCCTCCAGTGGCCCTATCAGACATCACATTGTTCTGGGCCAAGGCCCCAGCAAGCCAAGTGCCCACCCTAAGTGAAGGCGGGCCTTAATATTCGTCATAGGCCAAATTCGACATTTCCATATGTGGGTATTCAGGCTCTTGCAGCGCGTCAGTTGGTTGAGTGAACGCGCGAGCCTCACTAAGCTGCGCCGTACAGTTGGCCCAGGCCACGAAAGTTGTGCCACACGCAGCATGCAGCAGCTGCCCCTTCCATAAAGGAAGTGAGGCAGTCGAGGCCAGGCATTCTGGCCAGCGTTGGCAATGCGAAAGTGCTGCTGCGCTCTCGCTTGATGCAGCGCTGCTGCAAAGGGCGCTGACGGGGCGCGAGAGGTGAAGTGGGGCACTGCAGGGCAGCAGGGCGCAGGCAGCCATAGCCGGGCTGCTGGGCGCTCGGGGGTACAGCGGATGATCGGGTGGTCTTCAGGGAGAAAGGCGCTGTGTGGGATAATCGAGGTCCGATTGAGGGTGACGAGATACGTACCTGGTACATGAAGAGAGGTCGCCGATGGTGTGGACAGTCATGTACATTGGTCTTCGTGAGCCGAAGTGATCCTGTTGTGTGAACCAGCTGTAGCGTAGGATAATATGGTAGAGTACGCTGGGCATTGTGCGCCAGACAGAGAGAGCAACTCTGGATACTGTGTTGGTGTGGCCTACGGGCTTGGAAATTGGCTCAATAATTCTTTGTATTGCTATTTACTTGCTCAGCTGTGTGATTTCGCAACTTGGTTTTATGTATATCGCTCACATTCATATTCCTTGCATGTGCTCTAATCAATCAATAAAGACTATAATCAGCTACCTAGTCCCCGCACACGTGTCAGATCAGGTTGTCTTGATTCACGTGCGGTGCTCTGATACCAACTGTTACATGCCCAGTTGGGCGATGTACATAGAAACCGAGGATCCGCAAGGTGATGAAAAGGACTGAATGGACAATGCAGTGCAAGTAGAATCTCAACAAGCAATGTGCATTCCATTACATACAAAATGGTGCTGAATAGCGCAGGGAAGACTTAGATACAAAGCCTGACCTGACCGGGACTGACCTCATTCACATAGTATCAGATAGCGAAGCAGAATGCTAGAATGCTAATGACTAGCCCAATCAATGTTTGAACGCAGACCAAAAATACATCGTATCCATCACCAGGTGTGAAGGAGCCTGGTGCTGTACACAGGAAGAAAGCGCCAGGTCCAGACATACACAGACGTAGAGGAGGGAATCAGACGAAAGGAGGGAAAAAGATGGGAATGTCGTCAACACCAAGTCTTTGTCACAAGTCCCAAATAATCCCTCGTTGCAATGTCTGAAGTCCAAAAGTCGAAGCTGGATCCGATGTCACCGAGCTCTTTCTCTCTTCTCTCGTAGTCTGCAGATGCAGTGAAGTCAGATGATGAGAGGGGGAGAAGGAGATGGTGGACTGAGAAGCGGAAGAAGAAGAACTCTCTCTCTCTGTTACGAGCCAGATACTAACCTGTGATGTTGGCGCTGTGCTGCAGGTACCTCGAAGACGAAGCTGGAGCAACGGCGCTGCAGGTAAGTACCTCTGGCCTCCGCCCCAATCTCTCTCTCTCTCTCTAGTGCTATCCTAGCTATGGCACCCAGCGCTGGAGACTACAGCTACCTACTGCGCCCAGCGCTGAAGACTAAGGCTAACGCTATTACTACTCCTGCAGCGCTCCCTCCAGAGTGCTGCTGCCGAATCCTGAAGACTACTACTGCCTCCTGCCTACCTGTGAAGTGCATGGGAAGTCCCTATGTACTACCTTGGCCTGCCTCCTGACTGCCTGAAGGGCGAGCCCAGCCGAGGAGGCTGCTCTTGCCAATGCAGAACTGTGCCAGGGGCTGGCGCTGCAGCAGCTGCTGAGGCTGGCGTGGGGAACAGGCTAAGAATAGCCTGTTCCCGAAACCCTGGTTCGGTGCCTGAGTTTCAGGGCCGGTCGTTCTGATGAACGACCGAAAATGGACCTTCGTTTCAGGCTAAAAAGGCTGTTGCCATTTTTAGTCTGAAGCGACACAGGGACTGTAGGCCCCTGTTTTCAGGCTTTCGGGCTGAACAGTCACGGGGCCTGTAGGCCCAGGTTTTCAGGCTTTAAGCCTGAATTTCAGGCTTTCAGCCTGAGGGACGCAGGGCCTGGAAAATGGCCCTCGTCTGCAGGCGCAGCATGTAACAGAGAGAGAGTCAGAGTTTTCTTGGTGTGGGTTTTCTTAGTTTTTGATGTTTTGGGTGGGAGCTTTCGGTGCTCCTTTTGTGATTGCCGTTTCAGGCATTGCAATTGGCGGGGCGCCGAGGTTTCCATCTTGCTTGCTGTTTCGGCTGCGAGTTTTTTCTGTTTGCTGCGTTTGTTTTACTTAGGTTGTAGCCTGTAGCCTTTGTTTCGTTTTCGGCAACCTTGTTGGTCTTTTTGTTTCGTTCATTGTGTCTGATCGTAAACGGGTTCTGTTGACTCCGATCGGAAACTGGTTAGCAGGAAGACAAATGAGCGAGCTTCTTTCTGCAGAGCCCCTGTCAGTAGGGTTTCTTAGGGAGAGGAAGCGGATTGTGGAGCAGCTCACCACGTGTCACGAGGAGTTGGGGAGGGTTTGCGGGGTTTTGGCCCCTACCGTGCAGGAGGCGGGGTGTTTCTGTTGGTTTGGTTGTATATGTTATTTTGGCGGCGTTTGTCTTTTTACAATTTGTTTTGGGGCTCGCTTTCATCTGTCTTAGGGATTGATGGGTGAGTGCAGCTCTGTGGGGACTTCGTCATGGAGGGCAGTGAAGCTCCGTTAGGGAGATGATGCAGACTGGGGAAGTGGAGCACCCTAAATCGCGAGGAGGGAGGGAGGGTTTTGCGGGGTCTTCGGCCCCTGCAGTGCGGGTGGTAGGGTGCATCCGCTAGCTTGCACATGCACCATCATGGTGGGAGTTGGTGCCTTTGGGTAATGGAGAGTGTGGGTAGAGGTGCGATCCGCCCTGAGTCGCGTAGAGGAGGGTGGGTTTGCAGGGTCTTTGTCTGCAGTTGGGGGCCTGTGGATACGGACCCCTGCCGTGTGGGTGGCAGGGCGGCTCGACAGAGGAGAGGAGGGGTGGGGATGATAGCTTTCTTGGTTTCGCGTAGTACTTGGATTGGGTTTCTTAGGCTTTTTATTGCAGTTGGCCAGGAACTACCAGAAATTCTGTTTTGATGTGAGGGACACCGGACCCATTTTCCGGTTTGTATAATGAAATGGCAACCTCGGCATGAACCTGGCCGGAGTGCCCAGATGATACAGGACAGGTTGCCCACTCTTTTGGGGGCAAAAAAAAAAAAAAAGACGAGAAAGAAAGCAAGCAAGAGAAAAAAAAAAAAGGTAGCAGCAGCTTGTGTTATACTCGGCCTACAATGTAGACAGCCTACATAGGCCTTTTCTTTTCTTCTTTATTTTT